CTGTTGTCCATGTCCATTGGTTTGGCTTATATACATGTATACAAGTCCTTCGGTTGATCTCTTCCCCTTACCCCCGCCCTCCCCTACTTCCCTTCTGGGGATTGATAGCCTGATCGCTGTTTCTCAGTCTTTGGGTCTGTCCCTTTTCATCAGTCTATGTTGTTCTCTTTTTGCTCTTCTGATTGGGTGTTTTTTACTTCCTCATATACCAAATCGTTGATTTGATTCTCAGAATTCTCTACTTTGAATCCCTGTAAGCTTTTCTTTATTTCAGTTAGTGTATGCTTAGTTTCCAACTGGTCTTTTTTTATATCTTTGACATTCTCACTAAGATCCTTGAAAGTCTCAGTAAGTCCCTTGAAACTCTCATTAAGTCCCTTGAAGTTTTCATTAAGATCCTTGAGTAAACTTATAACCATTGTTTTGAACTCTGTACCCAGTAGCTTGCTTGCTTCCATTTCTTTCATTTGTAACATGTTTCTTTGTCTTTGCATTTTGGCTGCTTCCCTGTGGGGTCTCAGGGAATCACCAGGGCCAAGCGAACAGTGGGCCACACTGATAGAAACTCAGATCCGGCTGCCAGTCAGCTCTTTGATGGAGGAGGTCCCAGCATAGGAACAGTGAGCCCTGTGGGCACCCTGTCTGGGAGAAAGCTGCCCCTGAGTTCCGGCCCCAATGCCAGACAATCCAGTTCCTCCCTGTACGTCCCTGGATTTCCCCAAAGCCACAGCCCAGCGCTGGAGCTAGGAGGAAATGACCATGTAAGCTCGTTTGTGGGCCGTTTCAGAGGAATTCCATCAGCCACAATCCCCACTGGTTTTTACAGCCCAGTTACGGGGACTTACTCTTCCCAGCTCTGGAACCCTGGGCTGGGGGTCTGGTTTGGGACTGGGACCCCCTGCTTCTCACTGGAGGCCTTGGAGATCTCCCTCCCGATTAAAGAAACACCATATGTGGATGCCCAGCCCTTAATCACCTCCGCCCCTCCTACCAGCCTCAGTGTGCTTTCTGGTTTACTTTTCTAGTTGTAGGACTTCCATTCAGGCAGATTTCAGGTGGTTCTGAATGATGTTGTAATTTTGATGTGGTGTGGGAGGCAGCGAGTACCGGCATTTACCTCCACTGCCATCTCGGTTCTCTAATTGTATTTTTCACTTGCAGTTGACGGTCAATATTAGTTTCAAATGTCCTTTTCACCCAACTCCCCAACCCCCTCCCTTCTGGCAAACCTGTTTGTTCTGTCTCTGAGTCTGCCTCCTTTGTCAGAAATTGTCTGTATTAGGGATGATTTATTTCTGGGCTCTCTATTCTATTGATCTATATATCTGTTTTTATGCCAGTCCCTTACTGTTTTATTGTAGCTTTATTGTTTGATGTCAGGGATCGTGATATCTCTCACTTTGTTCTTTCTCACCATTTCTTTGGATGTTCGGGTCTTTTGTGATTCCATTTAAGTTTTAGGATTAGTTATTCTTTGTATGTATGTGTGTGTGTGTGCACGCGCGCACGCGTGTGTCCTAAGTGAATCTTATTAGAAGTTTAGGAAACCAAACCCTTTGCAATAGCCCTCTCTCTCTCTGGCCAGTATCAGAACATCACAAGTCTTGTAAGTGGCCAGCAGCTTTCTCTACCTACTTCAGCCTCACAGATGGACGCCATCATGGATGGACCAATTGAATGTGCAAAGTTTCCCCCTCCTACTGTATTTTCCATTTAATTTGTTGTACTCTTCAGTTTTGCTTGGTTCTTTTTTAAAAAATATATTTTAATTTTTTACAGAGAGGAAGGGAGAGGGATAGAGTTAAAAACATCGATGAGAGCGACATCGATCAGCTGCCCCCTGCCCCCCCCCCCCGCCCCACTGGGGATGTGCCCGCAACCAAGGTACATGCCCTTGACCAGAATTGAACCTGCGACCCTTGAGTTCGCAGGCTGATGCTCTATCCACTGAGCCACAGGGCTCTCTTTTTTTATTGTCTAAAGTTTTCCTCTAATTGACACCCCCCCTCCCCCGCTTGGTTCTTTCTTATACTTTCTCTTTGTTGAAATTCTCCCTAAATACCTCTCCAGTTTGGTGAGCATTGTCATGACTGTTTCTTTGAATTCTTTATCAAGCAAATTACTTATTTCCATTTCCTTAAGATGTTTTTATGGATATTTTTCTTGTTCCTTTGAAAGATATTTTGTCTTTTCATTTTGTTTCACTGTCTATGAGGGTTAAGAATTAGACAAAATAGCCCTAGCCAGTTTGGCTAGGTGAGTAGAGCGTAGGCCTGTAGACTGAAGGGTCCCGGATTTGAATCCGGTCAAGGACG